ATTGCGGTTACTCAAACACGGCCCTGGGTAACGCTCAGAAAGTTTCGGCACTCCAGCTGCTGTGATTGCAGAGTTACGTCAAATTTCACGTGTGTACACGTGTTCGTGCGTGAGATGCAGGAGGGTTGACAAGTAACTTATTTTCTCTGATACAACAGTGGGCACCAGGTAACGCTGCAAAATTGCAGTTCTCTTCAGTTTATTGATCGCCTTAAATTTGGAGTTGGCATGATGCCAGTTTATACTTTGACGTGTGCGTACGTGAGTCCTGAGGGTGCGTGAAGGCTGAATTTGAAATCTTTGAATTAGACGCGGCTAAGGAACAACTCTGTGAAGTTTCAGCCCCCTAACATGGGCCGTTCCCGAAAACGGTTTTCCGCCAAAAAAAATTTCACGTGCCCCTACGTGAGAACCACGCGGACCTGAGAGTCCATTTTGAGGATACGAGCCCGCACGTATGTGTAGATTAAGTCACCAAATTTTCAGCCTTGTAGCTTTTGTGGATTTCGAGATGAAAACTCGTTACAGACGCACACACAGACACACACACACACACACACACACATACATACACACAGACACACAGAAAACCCCTCGACAATATGCATTTTTGCATCGCATAGCTGCAAAAAACGCATAATTATTATAGTGTTAAAAAATGTTCCGGTCCATTAAATCGTATACATTTCTTACCTTTAAAACTGTCACAGAATGGTTTTTGGTACCTAAAACAAACACTGGTAGTTTAAGTTATGTGCTGTAATACTTTGTGAAGGCGAGGCTTACTTGTATGATGGGTTAGCTGTGCATTGTAAATTAGTCCTCCAGCTATGCAGCTGGGGATCGCTGGCAAAACTAACATTTATTTCGTCTCTACTTATAGCTTATCACCTCATTTTTCGAGAATTTTCGTTGCTGGACCGTACGAACTGTCTTATTAGGAGGTTAAAATTCTGCTACTTGAAAAACTTTCACTAACTTTAATTACCACAATCGTCGTACTGACGAGGCCCAATTGTGGTAATGTTAAGAAATGTATACGGCTTGTTGGACGGAAACACTTCTTACCATTATAATAAACCCACAAATTTTTTTATTTTTCATTTCTTATCTCCATTTTCTTTTTTCCTCTTTATTTCATTCCCTCTTATTATA